ATGCATAAAAGTTATGCTCCCTACTTAAATAAATAACAAATCTGAAATTTTCATTCTAACAATCATTTTATTAGTTTATGTCTAAGCTTAATTAACCTAATTCTGCTGTCTCCAATAAAGCCCTTAAAAACTACTTTGTAGTTCTTCTAACAAAGCAACAATTCCGATTTGTTTTTATTACACACTATAAAAAAAACATAGTGCGTGATGTTTTTAATATAAAGTTCATTAAATTATTAGAGAATAATTTCAATAATAATAACAACAAAAATCATAAAAAATATGTGATAAAGACTTATTTTTTAAACAACAAAGACAAGCAACAGCTATATCATCTTTATAATAAAAAGGAGTGCAAATAAAGAGACGAGACAACGTGATGACGACCCCAAAGTCAAAAACACAGACATACAATTTATATATTTTCAAAATGAAAAGACAAGAGTGAGCTTTAAATTATCAACAACATGATGATGATGATGAAGAAAATAATGACAAAACTATGAACCAAATGAAATACTTGCAGCAACAAAAAAAAAACGGAATAAGAAAAAGAATTAAACAAAGACTTTGATGACAACAACAGATTGTTAGTCAGCCAGCTATTGAGCCAGCCAAATAGTCTGTCATATAAGTCAGTTGGTCATCAACGCTTTTTTAAATGTTTTTCATTTTTTATTTTCTTTACAGCACCAACAAGTGTTAAGTTGTTGGATTTTTTCCTATGAATATTTTTTGATTTTTTTCTTTCAATATTTTTTATGGTTGTTTATTATTGACACTTTGTTAAAATTGTTTTTCTTTTTATTAAAAAAAATGCATTTAGTTTTCTTTTTTATTATTATTTTATTACATTATTTAATAATAGATTTTTTTATTGTGGTTATTTCACTTTTATCAGTGTATGCAGAAGTATTTTATAGTGAAAGAATTATAATAGAAATATTGGAGAAATAAAGTTTTTAGAATGCAAAGTTTGAAAAAGAAAATTTTAATAAAATTACCAGGAAATCTAAATAATTATGAGATGTCCAAAGAGAAGTTTAATAAAAAATAATAGATAATCCTTTTAAAATGCATTATAATCTCATTATAATGAGCTTTAAACTATTATAATTACATTATAATGAGTGATAATATATTATAACCTCATAATAATAAAGTTTAATCTTTTATAACTGCGTTATACTGTGTTATAATATATTATAATCCAATTATAATTAAGTTAAATCTATTATAATTGCGTTATAGTGTGTTATAATCCATTATAATTTATTATAATTCTTCATATTCGCATTATAATGAATTTTAAACTATTGTAACTAAATTACAATATGTTATAATCCAAAATAACCCGATTATAATTCAGTTTGATCTACTAAAATTTATTATAACATATTAAAATACATTATAATCGCATTATAATTTATCATAACCCATCTATTATAATTGAATTATAATGTGTTATAATTCATTATAATCCAATTATGATGATTTTGATCTATTACAATTGTATTATAATGTGTTATAATCCACAAAAATGTGATTATAATTCACTTTCCAATATTATAATTGCATTATAATCCATTATAATCTCATTATAATGTGTATTAATGTATTATAATTGTTTATAATACATTATAACCACAATAATGATGCTTATAATCTATTATAATCGCATTATTATGTGTTATAATTCGTTATAATCTTATAGTAAGCATACTAATATATTATTATCGCATTATAATGTGCTATAATTTATTGAAGCTTCATTATAATATATTACAGTAAATTGCAATTGAATTATAATATATTATATTCCATAATAATCGCATTATAATGAATTATAATCCATTATAATCACAGTATTATGTGTTATAAACCATTACAATCACATAATTATGTATTATAATCCATTATAATCGCATTATAATGTGTTATAATATATTATTATCCATTAAAACTTCAACCTAACTTTTTTTTATTATATTATAACGGAATTATAATTTGTTATAATATATTCTTAAGCGTTTTATACCATTATATACGCACTATAATTTTTGTTATCCTTTATAATTCTATTTTAATATAAGCAACTAAATATAATTTATCCATTATAATCCCATTATAATGTCTTATAATTCATTACAATCCACTATTTCTGATTATAATCGCATTATAAAGGTTTTTAACAATTATATTCGTATTATAATCTATTATAGACTCTTTTATAATAAATTTTATCTATTATATTCGTGTTATAATGCATTATAATTAATTATAACTTTATTATAATGTGCTATAATTTCTTAAGAAGTCATTATAGTGCTTTTACAACAATTATAATAGTTTTATAATGTATTTTAAACCATTATAATCGCATTATAATGTATTTTAATCCATTATAATACTTTTTAAACCCTTATAATAGTATCAAAATGTATTTTAAACCATTATAATATATCATACTCCTTTATAATCATATTATAATACTTTGTTAATAATTATAATGTTATTATAATGTATAAAGATTTATTTTATCAATAATTTATTTTTATAATTTCCAATTTAAACTATTTGTGGTTTTATAACAAAACAATTTTATGGTTTTATAAGTCATTTGAAATATTTATATTAGAAAAATCATATCTATTTCTATTGCATTATCTAAAGCAAGAATTATTTCATTAATAGCTCATCTGTTTAGTAGAGTGACTAATTGTTTTAAAAACAAAATATTGAAAAATATTTTTTTTTAACTTCATGAACAAATGACTAACAATAATAATAATAATTTTTAATAATGAAACTAAACTAGTTAGTATAATTAACTATTTTTGTTAATATAATTTAAATAATTTAAAAGGATTTATTTTTAAAACAAAAACCAGTCTAAACGTTTGCTAAAGTTATCAAAAAGAGTATTAAAACTAGTTAATTTAAATATCTCAAAGAGTTTGCAGGGGTTATTTAATAGAAACCCGTGCTTTAAAGTATTTAACTCCTATGGCGACTGAAACGTTAAAGCGTTTATGGAACTCTTAATTTAGTTTGTGACGTTTTTCTTTTCTACACTTTATTTCCTTTCTAGTCATTTTTAAAATTATTATGTCTGTCTTCCTTGTCTGTTTTTAAAACGTTTTTTTTTTTTTCTTTCATTATTTATATGTTAAGTGCTAAAAAAAATACAAAATTTGTTTGCTTGGTGTATGTTTCGTTTTGTTTTTTTATTTTAATTGTTTCATTTTGATTGTTTTGTGTGTGTGCTTGAGTTACGTTTAGCGCTACTGTATGCCTTAGTGAAGATATGTGTATAAAGTAAAAGACCCAAAAAAAATAATAATATGAGTCACACCATATTTACCTTATGTGAGTTAAATACGTATTTATTTTGCATACATTGTTATGTATGTGTCTGGTAGGTATATTTTAATGTTTGCATAAATCTACTTAAAGTTTTTTTTTTAATAGAACAATAAGTGAACTAAAATGAGTTATAAACAAAAACTTAGGTTTATAACCTCTTGGGGAATAGACAGAAATTGTAATTAAATATACAAATCTGAAAAAAATTTAAAAGGGGTTTTTAGAGTTTTAGAAAGAAGAGGGAAAACTAAAGTTAAGTAAAAAACTAAAACTCAAGATTGTAAGAAAAGTTCAATTTATTATAATGAATTGCTGTACGGTATAATGTTATAATGCATTACAATATATTATAATGGTATTATAATTATTTTGATGTCACTATAACGCGTTATAATTCATTATTATGGCAATAAAATTCGCCATTATCAACTATAGTAGCATAATACTGCGTTATAATTCATAAAAATGGCATTATAATGATTGATAATACATTATAATAGCATTATTATTCCATATAATATGTTATAATCTATTATAATAGCATTATAATGCTATAATAATGAAATACGTTATAATCTATTATAATCGTATTATAATGAGTTATAATAGTTACAATAGTGCAACGATGCATTATAAAAAATTACATTTACATTATAATTCTGTATAAACCATTATAATGGAATTATAATGCATTATAACCCATTATAATGATATTATAATAGTAATATAATACGTTATAACTATTATAATACATATTAACCCATTATAAAAGTTTAAAAATAAGTTATAATCCATTATAATAGTGTTATAATGCATCATAATTCATTATAATGATATTATAACAGCATTATAATATGTTATAATTATTATAATGCATTATAAAACATTATATTTACATTATAATTCTGTATAAACCATTACAATGAAATTATAATGCATTATAACCCATTATAACAGTCTGTTATATATATTATAATGTTGTATAAACCATTATAATGGTATTATAACCCATTGCAATGACATTATAACAGTATTATAATATGTTATAACTATTATAATACATATTAATCCATTATAATCAATTATAAAAGTTTTAAAATAAGTTATAATCCTTTATAATAGTGTCATAATGCATTATAAATGATTATATTTACATTATAATCCATTATAATGACATTATTACATCATTATAATATGTTATAATTATTATAATGCATTATAATCCATTGTAAAAGCTTTAAAAAACTTTATAATTTATTATAATAGCATTATAAAGAGTTATAATCCATTATAAATGATTATGTTTTCATTATAATGCTGCATAAACCATTCTAATGACATTATAATGCATTATAAAGCATTATAATGTTATTATAATGCATAATAAACCATTATAATGGTATTATAATGCGTCATGACTCATTATAATAAAAATTATTATGTATTAAAATTGACTTTAATAACATTACAATTCATTATTAGCCCATAAAAATGTATTAAAATACATTATTATTGTAATTATAATATTTAACATAATTGCCTTTAATTTTGTATAACTTTTGCAATATTTTCTTTATTTTTTTTTTTTAAGAAACTAAAATTATTAATAAAAATTAATTTTTTAAACCACTTACCATTTAACATATTAATACCATCAAATTCATCTTGATCCAATTCCTGTTGTAAATCACCCATATCGAAAGCAACACCACCACCACTGCCAGCACCTCCACCACCACCAGCAGCTGACATGCCCGCAACAAAATTATTTATACCAACACCACCAGCAAAGGCAGCTAAATTACCATCATCTGAACCGCCGATGGGTGAGCCAAGTTTATCTTTTTGTATGACAACATCCACGTTGCCCAGGCGTATTAAATCTGCCATTTTGGGTGGTAATGGTAAAATATTGGGTAGAATTTTGAAAGATTTTTTTGTTGGTAAGGGTAATGGGAAGAATTAAAGGTAAAATATTATAAAAAATTTTTTTTTTTTTGGTTTAAGTGCGTGTTTTTTTATATATATGAAGCTGGGTGATTAAGCTTGTTTTATTACTTTTTATTTAGCTTAAGCGAGTATATAAATTTGTAAGCAGTGATGTTTTATTTATTATGTTTAAAATATGGCAGTGGCAACAGGCTTATGTAAAGCTGTTTAAAAATTTGATTTATATAAATCACACCTTTGGTTTTTTTGGTTTCTGTTTGTTTTTTTTTTATATATTTAAACAATTCCTTTTAGTTTTGTTTCATTAATCATGTTATATTAGTTTTAAAGTTCTTCCTGATTTGTTCTTTTTGTGTAATATTTATGGATGACAAATGTTTTCTGAAGTTAGTGGAGTTTTAAATATTATATATTCAAATGGCACTAAGAGTTTTTTCTGCTGCTTTTATGTTTTCTTAAAAACCGGCTTAATTACCAAGTGGGCGTTTAATAATGACGGCCCCATTTGATGAGGAGTTTTCTTTTGCAGAAAAAGCAGGATGTGTATTAAAAATGAGTTTTGCAATTGATGTTTTAGTTTTTTTTTTTGGAGATTATGGAGATTATGATGATTTAAACGTATGTGATGGCTGGTTTGTGGTTAGTTTTTGTTTATCCATTTATTAAGTTAAGAGCGCATGTTGTGGACTGTAATGAGTTGCAGACATTTTTCTTTTAGATAAATGTGAAGTATGTTAAGAAGATTATTAAGTGGTAAGACGCAAGAGATTTGTATATAAAGTGGTTAATTAAAAGAAAGTTTAAAAAAGCAAAAAATAACTTCAGGATTGTTAAAATTAAAATAAAATTATTTTATTTCTTTTTATAATCCTATTATAATGGTATAAAATTCATTATAATGATACCTATAATGCGCTTAAACAAGTTATAGTGCCGGTGTAATAATACATAATTCATTATAATACAATTATAATGGAATTAAACATATTATAACGATATTATAATGTATTAAGGCATATTGTATTGCTATTATAATAGATAAAAACACATTATAATGATATTATAATGAACTAAAAGGTATTATAATGCCAGTATAATGATTTATAATGCTGTTATAATGAATCAAAACATATTATAATAGAAGAGAATACATTACAATGCAGTTATAATGAATTAAAACACATAATAATTCATTATAATCCTATTATAACGTTTTATAATACATTATAACGATATTATAAAGTACTATAATGCATTATAAAGCTGTTATAATGTACTATTAGGCATTATAACGCTTTTATAATGGATTATAATACTTTATAATGCGGTTGTAATGAATCAAATCATATTATAATGAAATTTAATGCATTATAATGCTGCTTTAATGAACTAAAATACTTTTTAGGCTATTATAATGTATTGAAATAACTACTAGTAATTTATAATGGTACTAAAAGGATTTATAATACATTATAAAGATATTGTAATGAATTAGAATGCATTATAACGCTATTATAATAGATTATAACACATAATAATGCTCTTATGTTGAGCCAAAACACATTATAATGGAATAGAATGTCTTATAATGCTGTTATAATAAATTATAATACATTATAACGTTATTATAATGCAATATAATTCATTATAACGCTATTATAATGATTTATATTACATTATAATGCTGATATGCTGAACCGAAGCACATTATAAAGAAATATAATGATATTATAATGAATTATAATACTTTATAACGCTATTATAATGGATTACAGTACATTATAAAGCTGTATTACTGAAGTTTAATCGATTATTATTTCATTTTAAGAGACCATAATACATTATAATAGTGTTATAATAAAATATAATAAATTATAATGTGTTATAACGCCAGTATAATGAATTATAATGGCATGATATCGGATAATACATAATAATGCCATTATAATGGATTATAATATATTATAAAGATATTAAAGTATACGCTTATACATTACAATTATGATATAATTAATTATAATATATTATAATATATTATAATGATATTACAAAGGATTATAATACGCTATAATGCTATAATTTTGGATTATAACATCTTTATAATGCATTAAGTTATGTTACAATAATATTATAATGATTTTAAATACATTATGTGACAATTTTAAAGGACTATAATAAAGTTATAATCAATTATTTAATATATTACATTATAATTAACATTATACATAGCAATAGACAATCCTTGAGTTATTTTTCACTTTTTGTTAAATAACATTTATTAATTTGCTAAATTATTTGCAATAATTTGAAATTAAAACAAATTTCTTTAACAAACAATCAATTATTTTAATATAGCGATTTTTTTGCCCGAAAACAATGGGCAACACCATTATTTGTTTGTCATCTAAACAGTTTTGAGCAGCCAACAAGAAAGCAACAAAAACAATAAGAAACTAAATAGGAAATAATAATAAAAAAAACCAAAATAATAAGAAACAAAAAAAGTGAATGAAATTGTAGGAATTGAAGAATGACTAATAATAATAAATGGATGGATGCTCTGGGAGAGTTTTTATTATTTAGGTAGCTATAATGTTGTTGTTGTTTTTTGCCAAATGCTAATGTCACAAAAAGATAAGGGTGCAGTTTAGTAGAAGAAACAGATAAATTATAGAAGAAATTAAAAAATTATTAAAAATATTTATTTAATTAATAAATATCTTATAGAGAAGAGTAGAAAAAATTGCTTTTAAGGGTTTTTTTTAGTAAAATTAACAAAGAGTATGCGCTGCTATATTGTTACAGTAACAGAGCAGCAGCAGAGCTTTAACAAGAAAAATATGTGTAACAAAAAAGCAATAAAAGAAAATAAAGGAAGACTGAACAAGAAAAAGAAAGAAGAAAAAAACACCGGATGGGGCACGACCCATATGAATCAAATGAAAAAAAATTGTATGAAAAAAATTTCCAAGTGAAATGAAAAACTTACCTCCTATACACAATGATTTTCTCCAACGTTTTTTCCAATCTTTTAATTGTTTTTGTATATTTTGCATAAAGTTAAAAAACACATAAAATATTTCACACTTTTTTAGCACACAACTTTATTTTCGCGTTAATTAAAAGCAGTCTGTGTAAAACTAATTATTTCTTGCTTTTTTTGTACAATGTAAAAAAAACTCGCGCATGTAGCCGTAATTACAAAAAGACGTAGACAAAATTATGCTGCCTTAGCAGCAGCAGCTGTGTTAGAAAATTTTTTTCTTACAAAATTTCTTTAGTTTTACTTAATAACTTTATGAAATTTTTCTTTTTTCTTATAAATATTTGTTTATTTTCTTTGAAAAACTTTAGCACACAATTGTTTGTGTGAAAAATACACAAAAATTTTCACTTGAAACCTCCGTCAGCACCAGAGATACAAGTCGATGCAAAATATTCAACGGCGCAACTAGTTTTGGTAGGCGACGGCAGCTTATTATAGAAAATACTGGCAGAGATAAAAGCCGATGCAAAATGATAGGCGGCGGTTGATTGTAGAAAATACCGGCTCAATTTTAATTTTTCTTCAAAAATTTCTCATATTTGCGTTTGTTATATTGAAAAATCTCTGTATAAAAGTCTGTTATATAGAAACCTGTCTCTATATAAGTTTTTTGTGCAGAAAATGATCAATCTATAACAACTTTTCATTATTTTAATATTAAAACACAATATATTATGGCAACTCTTTTCATTTTGCCTGTAAACATTTAAATTAGTGGCAACTCAGTTCAAATTGATAGAAAAAATGAAAATTAAACTAATTTAAGCTGAAAGTAACTTCAACAAATTTGTTTCCAACATATATCAGCGGCTACGTTTAAGCTGGCTTAATCTTTTGAGCTGAAATAAGTCGGCAGTGGCTCGCGTTGCAAAATATTACCAGCGGCCAACCGCCTACTATTTAAGCCGTCTCCGGCTGAGATAAAAGCCGGTGCAAATGAACGGCGACAATATTTTTGTTTTCTTCTACACTGTCTTATCATACTGCTTTATCATTTATAATCATTCAATGCAGTACTATTGTGCAAATAAACAAAACTTACAAAACAGTGCTGCAAAACGCTAATTTATTACAAAACTGTTAAAAATTTAAAAAATAGTTTAATTTTAAGAAAAATATGTAAAAAAACTGCAAAAATTAACAAAAATCTTGTCTTATAATAAAAATTCTCTTGAAAAAAACAGAAGAAAACTTTCATAATTTAAAAATTATTTTTATTTTAGTAAAAATATAAGTGAAATAGACTAGATTTTAGAGAATTTATTCAGGTTTTATTCATCAAAATCAAAAATTTCATGAAAAAACTTGTTTAATTTCAAAATTTTCATTCTAACCTCAATATAATTGAGTAAAACTAAGTAAAAATAATAAAATAAATCAATTATTGCAGGTTTTATTAATCAAAATCTTAAAATTCCTGTAAAATCTGGTAAAATTTGAAAATTTTCATTCTAACCTAAAAATTATTTATTGGAATTTCGCTTAAATTTGAGTTAAATTAAAAACAACTAGTAGTTTAAGTCAATTATTGCAGGTTTTAGTCTTCAAAATCTAAAATTTCCTGTAGAAACATGAAAAATTTCAAAATTTTCATTCTAACCTCAAAATTATTTTTTGAAATTTCGCTTAAATTTGAGTGAAACTAAGTAAAACTATTAGCTTAAATCAACTATTAAAGATTTTAGTCATCAAAAAATTTTCATTCTAACCTCAAAATAATTTTTTTAATTTTTGCTTATATTTAAGTAAAATGTTAAGAAACTAGTAGCTTAAATCAATTTTAAAAGGCTTTAAATATCAAAATATATAATTTACTATAGAATACATACACAATTTCAAAATTTTCATTTTAACCTCAAAATTAATTTCTGAAATTTCACTTAAATTTAAGGTAAATTAAGTAAAACTAGTAGTTTAAATCAATTATTGCAGGTTTTAGGCATCAAAATCTAAAATTTCCTTTAGAAAGCATGAAAAATTTCAAAATGTTTACTCTAACCTCAAAATAATTTTTTGAAATTTCGCATAAATTTGAATAAAATTGTATAGAACTTAAGAGCTTTTATAAATTTGTACAGATTTTAATTAACAAAAGTCGATATTTACTTCAAATTGTTAATAAAATTTCAAAATTTTCTTTCTAACCTCAAAATTATTTTTTGAATTTTATCATTAAACTGAGAAAAATTAAGGACAAGTAATAGTTTTTAGCGATTACTACTAGATTTAAGTGTTAAAAGTTAATATAAGCTTTTAAAATATGAAAAAAATTCAAAATTTTCGTAAAAAAATTAAAAACACCTTTTGTTAATTTAGTTTTTTATACTTTTTTACACATTTTTTCTTTATTTAAATTAATTTAATTTAGTATATACAAAGACTAGACAAAAAATACATTTAAAAAATTGTTACATTTTGTGTTTACATCTAAGGTTTTTTGGTTTTAAATACCAAATTAAAATTAAGTACAAGAAAATAAAGTCTTATAATAATAAATTAAGTAAAAAAATGGGTTTAACAATAAAATAATAAATTAATTACTATAAAAAAAAACAATATGGCAAGCTTAAGTTAAGAAAATAGTTAAAAAATTTAAAAAAAAAAACTTAATTTAATATTTGGTTATTTAAAAAACTATTTGTTAAATAATTTGTTTATTTGGCATAAAGTTAATAATTTCAATATAATTCAGATTTAAATATTTAATTACTAAAACAATATTTTCTTTTTAGTAAATAATACATATTGAAATAAAAAGGACTAGATTAGGAACCACTTATAATGTTTTCTGTTTTGGGGGGGGGGGGGGGGGGGGGGCGAGGGGTTGTAAGGTTAAATTTTTGTACAACATTTATATTAATATATATTTAACTTAAAATTAACTTATTTTTTAAATATTTTTTTATAAGAAATTTCTTTAATTATTAATTACAAAATTAGATTAACATTAATAAGAAAATGAAGAGCTTTTTTTAAGGGTAAAATTTTAATAATAAGACGTTGTAAAGATTAAGCACATTTTTTTAACTATTCTAACACTTAAAATCTTGAATTTCTAGGAAAATTATTAAAAATTTCATCATAACCTACAAAATTTTCAACCTAACCTCAAACTTTAGTTTGAAAATAATCAAGAAACTTTAATAACATTAAGTAGAAATCCTAGTCTACCACAAATATTTCTCATTTTAAGTCTTAAAAATCTCAATTTTTAGGAAAATTGAAAAAAAATTTCAACTTCACCTTAAAATTTTCCAAATAACCTCAATTTTTTTTTTCAAATTTCGCATAAATTTTAATAAAATTGGCTGGAACTAGTAGTTTACAACAATTTCTATATATTTTAAGCTTTAAATAATAAAATTTCAATTTAAAATAAAGCAAAATCAGAAATTTTCAATCTAACCTCAAAAATATTTTTCTTAATAATGCTTGAATTCATGCAAAATAGTTTGGAAATGAAAGTTTAAAGAAAATCTAAACATATGACAGTTTTAAAAGCTTAAATTTCCTTTAAAATTCTAGAAAATTTTCAAAATATTCATTGTAACCTCAAAATAATTTTTTTCAATAAAGCTTAAATTCATTCAAAATTGTTTGAAAATTAAAGTTTAAAGAAAATCTAAACCTATGACAGTTTTGAAAACTAAAATTTCCTTTAAATTTGTAGAAAATTTTTTAAATATTTATTCTAACCTCAAAAATATTTTTGTTAATAACGTTTAAATTCAAGCAAAATTGTCTGGAAATGAAAGTTTAAAGAAAATGTTGAAATTTTTAAGACTTAAAAACAAGTTTTCTATAATTTTTTCCACAAAATTTGGTGATTATTTACCAAATTTTATAAAAAATTCTTGATTTTTTTGAGGGTTAAGTTTTGAAACTTAATTTTTCTTTTAAAATTTATCAATTTCTCACAGTTTTGTTGTTAAATGTTTAATAAATTTGTTTAATATTCTTATATTTTTGTAATTTGTTTTTCAAAAATTTGTGCTTAACCTTTAAACGGTGTTTTGTATTCAAAATTTGTTTTTGGTTTTTTAAGTTAATTTTAAGTTTTTAGCTAATTTTTTTTTTTAATTTATATACATTAAAGGCCTTATTTGTTAAAAAAATGTTTTTTATAAAACAAAATTTTTTGTTTTATAAAACTTTTAACAAAATTTTGTTAAAATTTTAGAATTTTACAAAATTTTGTTTTGTGTTTAATGGTTTTAAACTTTTACTGTGTTTTTATAGGATTTTGTTGATAGGCATTTAAATTTTAAAAAGTTTTCAGTCTTTGATTTGAAAAAAAAAAAAAATTGAAAAAGAGAGGGCAACAGCAATTGTTGTTTAAGTGATCAAAACTTTGTTAGAAAAAGACTTTAGTCTAGACTATAGTTAAGTTTATGGTCTGGATTATAGTCTAAACTATAGTTTAGTCTGTAGTCTATTCTACAGTTAATAGTTTGGTCTATAGTCTGTACTATAGTTAAGTCTATAATCTGAAATATTGCCCTAATTAAGTCTAATCTATAATCCGAACTATAATGCTTTCTATAGTCTGGACTATTGAACTGACTATAGTCCGGAATATAGTTCGAAATATAGTCTATAATATAGAGCGGACTATAGTTCAGTTTATAGTCTTATCCTTAGTCTAAACTATAGTCCATTATATAGTCAATAGTTTAGGCTAAAGTCTGAACTATTGTCCTGACTATAGTCCGGACTAAAGTTTAGTTTATAGTCTAATCTGTAGTCTATTCTATAGTTTCAACTGGACTATTGTCTTTATAGTTTCCTCTATAGTCTGAACTATAGTCCATTCTATAGTCAATAGTTTAGTCCATAATCTGGACTATTGCCTGGCGTATAGTATAGATTATAGTCTAATCTATAGTTCATTCTGTTGTCAATAGTTTAGTCTATAGACAGGACTACTGTCCTGACTATAGTCCAACCTTTGGTTAGTTTATAGTCTAGCCTATAGTCTGAACTATAGTCTATTCTATAGTCAATAGTTTAGTCTATTCTATAGTCAATAGTTTAGTCTATAGTCTTGACTATAGTTTAGTTTAAAGCCTAAACTATATTCTAATCTATAGTTTTTTCTATAGGCAATAGTTTAGTTTATAATTTGTAACATTATTTAGTATTGACTATAGTTAGTTATTAGTTAGTTTATAGTCTAAACTATAGTTTAATCTATAGTCTAGACTATAGTTTAATCTAAAGTATATACTTTGCTCCATTTTATAGTCTAAACTATAGTCTTATCTAAAGCCTGTTTTTGAAATCGTTGCTGTTGCTTTTTTCGTGTGTTTATTTTTGGTTAATCTCTATTACTCTTTGGTTTTTTTGTTAGTTCGATTTTAATAATTTAACTTTCTTTAACTTTGGTTTATTACCAGCTTCCTCTTCATTATTTTTCTGTATAATTTCATGCCATTTAATAGATTGACTAATATCGACTATTAAATTATTAGTGGAGCTGCTGCTACGCAATCTTTTACTCACAACTATTTCGGGTTTTACCTGTACAACTTCTGTGGGCGTGACATGTTGTTCTGTGGAAGTCATAACCTCTTCCACTACATGTTCCTCTTCATCAAAATGTTCATTTTCTTCTAGCTGCTGTTCTTGCTCCTCTTCATTTTCGTCATCATCATCATCATCTAATTGTATAATTTCATAATTTAAAGGTTCTAGTAGATTGGGTGTCGACTCACGACTTGCGTTCGTTTCAGGTGGCATTTCTGCAGCCTCCTTTCTAACTAACACCTTTTTCTCCTCCTCCTAGCTGGTGGAGGAGGGTGTTTGCACACCATTCGCTTTGCCGGGGAAATGGCACATGCACGAGGGATTGGGATTATGACCGGGATTCTCATCTAGTTTTTTGGTTAATTTCTTCCAGTAATCGATTTGTGCATTTAGTAGTTCTATTTTTAATTTACGTTCCTCTATGCCCAGCATAAAGTAATCATTTTGTGCATTCTTTTGGGAGTGGCTATTGGGCGTGGAGGTTTGTCTCTGCTGGCCGTAGTGTTTGTGGGGGGTAAAGGGACTGCTGGCACCATTAATATTAAGCAGTAACTGTTGGGTGGCATTCGAATGGCTATTCAAATGTAAATGTTGTGCTGCGGGAGGTGGTTGTGTGGGCACAGGATTGTTATGCTGCTGGCTGGCTCTTTGTAAAGTGGGCATGCGTGGATTAGTGTCCAAAACATTATTATTATGATTAACCGCACTCAAACCCAAACCATTTAACAGCAGCTGCTGTTCAGCACTAGTTTGTCGTAAATTTAAAGCCTGACCCGCTGCAGAGCCATTGGTGTGTGTTATACTTAAAGCTGAATTGGTTGAGGGTCCATTATTATTATTACTATTATTGACAGCATTCTGTAAAGCCTTCATATTGGCCATACTGCCTATACTGCCCACTCTTATGCCTCCTATATTCTGTATGGTAATCTCCGGCTGCTGTGAATGATGCAGCAAATGTGCTGGCGATTGCTGTAATTGATTTTGTGCTGTTTGTCCAGTTTGTGCAGATTTTTGTGTTTGTTGTTGTTGTTGTTGCTGTTGTTGATTTTGTGTTTGTTGTGGTGTACTAGTGGGTTGTCTTAAGTCTGTAGCAAAAAGTTCTTCATCTTCTTCTTCCAGACAAACTTCTGGTATATCTTTGGGACTTAAACAATCATCATCATCTTCATCCATAGCTTCACCACTGTGTGATTGTTCATTATCACTGATATCTTCGGATTTGATAACAATAACATCATGATCCATGCCATCGTAATTGAGTACGGGATGCTGTAATAAAGGAAACTGTAAAAAAATTATTAATTTAACTGTTAAAACAAACCAAAAAGGGGAAAATAACCTAAAAATCTACAAAACAGAAAAAAATAAACTAAAAATTAACAAAATTTAACTAAAAATTCTAATAAAAAACTTAACCTCAAAATTTTTGAAATTCTTAATATTTTTAAACAAAGTCCACTAGAATTATAGAAAAACTATAGTTTATACAGAATTTTTTATATATCAAGCCTTTTCAATTCCTATTTCTAACAAAAAATATTAAAAAGTTCATCCTAACCTTAAAATTTTTTTTAATATTTTTAACAAAATGATTTAAGAACAAATAATTTTGAAAGAAATTCTATTAAAACTGTTAGCATTTAATAGATTTTCAAGAGTTTTACTAGTTTTAGGGCTTAAGTTTGAAAATTTCTTTTAAAATCATGAAAAATACAAAAAATTTTTTAAATTTTCATTTTAACCTCAAAACTATTTTTCTAATTTTGCACAAAATTCTAGCAAAATGGGTAGCAAATGGTAGGTTTTTAAAAATATTACATTATTTAAGTTTTAAAAATCAAATATTCTTGGAAAAAATACGAAAAATTTAAAAAAAAATTTCAACCTAACCTCAAACATTTTTTCTTAATTTTGAAGGAATTTATAGCAAAATTGGTAGCAAATGGTAGGTTATAAATAGTGTTACCATATTTAAGCTTTAATTGCAAACTTTTCTTGCAAAAATATGAAAAAATTCAATAATTTTTAAAAATGTTCAACTTAACCTCAAAAATATTTTTTAATTTTGGAGAAAATTTCAACAAAATTGGTAACAAATGGTAGATTTTAAAGAGTTTTACTAGTTTTAAGCTTTAATTACAAACATTTCATATAAAAATATGAAAAAATTTAAGAAAATAAAAAATGTTTCAACTTAACCTTAAAAAAATGTTTTAAATTCGAACGAAATTCTAGCAAAATCGGTATCCTTTAGAAATGTTTAAAGAGTTTTACTAGATTTAAGCTTTAATAACAAATTTTCTTCGAAATATACAAAAAATTTTAAGAATTTTTAAAAATTTTCAACCTAACCTCAAAAAAGTTTTCTTAATTTTGTACAAAATTCTAACAAAATTGGTAGCATTTGATAGAATTTAAAGAGTTTTACTAGATTTCAGCTTTAATTGGAAACTATTTTTGGAAAAATATGAAAAATTTATGAAATTTAAAAATTTTCACTTTAACCACAAAAATATTTTTTTTTAATTTTGAGGAAAATTCTAGCTAAATGGGTAACCATTAGTAGGTTTTAAAGAGTGTTACAAGATTTAAACTTTAATTTTAAACTTTTCTTAGAAAAATATGGAAAAAATTAAACATTTTTAAAAGGTTTCAACCTAACCTCAAAAAAGTTTTCTTAATTTTGTACAAAATTCTAACAAAATTGGTAGCATTTGATAGCATTTAAAGAGTTTTATCAGATTTAAGATTTAATAACAAACTTTTCTAGTAAAAATATGAAAAAATTTACAAAAATTGTAAAATTTCCAACCTAACCTCAAAAATATTTTTTTAATTTCAAACGAAATTCTAGCAAAATTGGTATCAAATGGTAGGTTTCAAAGAGTATTACACGAGTTAAGTTTTAATAACAAACTTTTCTTGGAAATATACGAAAAATTTTAAGAATTTTTAAAAATTTTCAACCTAACCTCAAAAAAGTTTTCTTAATTTTTTATAAAATTCTAACAAAATTGGTAGCATTTGATAGAATTTAAAGAGTTTTACTAGATTTAAGCTTTAATTAGAAACTTTTCTTGGAAATATACGAAAATTTTTAAGAATTTGTAAAAATTTTCAACCTAACCTCAAAAAAGTTTTCTTAATTTTGTACAAAATTCTAACAAAATTGGTAGCAAATGATAGGTTTTAAACAGTTTTACTAGATTGAAGCTTTAATAACAAACTTTTTCTTGTAAAAATATGAAAAAATTTACAAAAATTGTAAAATTTTCAACCTAACCTCAAAAATATTTTTTTTAATTTCAAACGAAATTCTGGCAAAATGGGTATCCTTTAGTAGGTTTTATAGAGTGTTACAAGATTTAAACTTTAATTTTAAACTTTTCTTAGAAAAATATGGAAAAAATTAAACATTTTTAGAAAGTTCCAATCTAACCTTAAAAAGTTTTCTTAATTTTGTACAAAATTCTAACAAAATTGGTAGCATTTGATAGAATTTAAAGAGTTTTACTAGATTTATGCTTTAATAACAAACTTTTCTTAGAAAATTAGAAAAAAATTTAAGAAATTAAAAGAAATTTTGAAAAATATTTTTAAAATTTCAAGTGAATTTCAACAAAATTACAATTATTTCATAGTTTTAAAAGAATATTGTAAGAATTAAGCTTAAAATGTCTAGTTTAAAAGATTTTATTTAAAAATTTAAAGGAAATTATGAAAAAAGATGTAACATTTATTGAAAATTTCAACAGTTTAAAAAATTCTTTATCTAAAAAATAAAAATACACTTGTTATGCCAAAAGTTGATTTCATTGCTCTCTATATATGTACATATAAAGACTCAAAGCCCGTTTGTTATCTATCTAACTAAAACTTTCTTATCAATTTCATTTAGGGTATTTTAAAACAAAACTTACCTTTGAATCATCATAATCATCATCATACTTCTGGCGACCACCACCACCATTACTATAACCATTCGGAGACATTTGTTCCGAAATATATTGGGCCACTGATTCTTGTTGCGATATGGTATTAAGTAGATCCATAAAGGTGCGATTACCTTTACCCTCACCGCACAAATCCTTTTTCAGCAATAATTTCATATTTTTATAAAGTTGGCGCAACTGTTTCGAGGAACGTTGATGATAAACACGAGCATTAAACTCTTTGGCTATTTGACGCCATACCTCATCCTTTTTGCGATTCGATTCGGCATCGGTGCGTTTATTTTCAATAATATCTTTGTATTGGGCCGCATAACCCAATACCATATTACGCTCCCGTTGTGTATAACGGGGAGTTTTTTCCATTTTCATTCGGCTGGGGAGAGACGTCGTGAAGCTGTAATTGTAAAAAAAAGCAGATTTTTTTTTTACTTTAACAATTTGAAAACTCTTTCGTTTTGTTTTGATCTTGTCAAAGCCTAAATTTGAACTGAAACTCAAATTTACCCCAAGAGCTAGAAAAACACCAAGTAAGAACATGAAAAGGAAAAATAAAAAATAAAGAGCTGTAAACACAATTAAACTATATATAGAAACAACAACAACAACAGCAAATACAAACAAATACTCAGGTTTTTATTTCAAGTGCGTTTTTATCATAACAGTTTATTTTCAATTACCTTTAAAGGCTCTCTTTAACAAACATAAGTACATACACACACTTATACTAATACTACTTATTACTCTCTCTCTCTTTCTTTCATAGTTTAGTTTCCCTTAAATCATTTGCTCCTATTTAACGGTAAATTCCCTCCCTTTTTAAAACAAAACAAACAACAAACTAGTGTTTATATTAATCAATCACTTTCCTCTTAAATTGTATTATACTGTTAGGTCTCAGTGTGTGGGGGTTTTAAATAAAAACCCGCTTCAGTTCTGGGGGCTATTTAGAGGGTTTTTAGTTACTCCTCTTGCTCTCTCTGTTGTGCTCTTTTCTTGTAAAGGTAGTCAGCGAGTAAAGTTAATATTTTACCTTTATTTTGTTATTATTTAATGATAACATTTCATATTAATAATGTTATAGTTCTTGTTGTTGTTGTTGTTTTTGTGATAAGCTTACTCTTTTAAAGAGCTTCGCTTTAATTCTAACGTAAAAAAAACTTAGCACTTAGTATTTTCTATAAATATTATTATCAAAAAACCAATATTGAAAAAGTAACAGTCATCTGAAAGCTAATAAAGTAAAATTAAATATAAATTATTAAAAAAACGTTTTAGTTTTCTATAAAAATTATTAAAACACCTTCAAATTTCATTGAAAATATGGAAAAATTCAATAAAATCACAAAATTTTCATTCTAACCTCAAAATAAATTTTTGAAATTCCGCACAAATTCCTACAAAATTAAAAGCATTTGATAGTTTAAACCATATTTTAAGCAATTTAAGCTTTAATTTTGTAATTTTCATTAAAAAATATTGAAAAATTTAATAAAATCGCAAAATTTTAATTCTAACCTCAAAATAAATTTTTGAAATTTCGCATAATTTCCTACAAAATTAAAAGCATTTGATAGCTTAAACCATATATTAAGCAATTTAAGCTTTAATTTTGACATTTTCCTTCAAAAATTCAACAAAATATCAAAATTTTCATTCTAACCTCAAAATAAATTTTTAAAATTTCGCACAAATTCCAAGAAAATTAAGAGCATTTGATAGATTAAACTATATATTAAGCTTTAATATTCCCTTTTTCCTTCAAAATTCAATAAAACTGCAAAATTTTCATTCTAACCTCAAAATAAATTTTTGAAATTTTGCACAAATTCGAATAAAATTAGATATAATCGATAGCTTATCACAATTGTTAAACGGTTTAAACTTCAATTTTGCCATTTTCCTTCAAAAACTCAATAAAATTATAAAATTTTCATTCTAACCTCAAAATAAATTTTTGAAATTTCACACAAATTCCCACAAACCTTAAAGAATTCAAAATATTAAACAATTGAATCCTAAATTTTGCCACTTTCCTTCAAAAATTCAGTAAAAAAACTAAAATTTTTTCTAACCTCAAAATAAATTTTTGAAATTTCGCATAATTTCCTACAAAATTAAAAGCATTTGATAGCTTAAACCATATATTAAGCAATTTAAGCTTCAATTTTGACATTTTCCTTCAAAAACTCAATAAAATTATAAAATTTTCATTCTAACCTCAAAATAAATTTTTGAAATTTCACACAAATTCCAACAAAATTAAGAGCATTTGATAGATTAAATCATATATTAAGCAATTTAAGCTTTAATATTCCCTTTTTCCTTCAAAATTCAATAAAACTGCAAAATTTTCATTCTAACCTCAAAATAAATTTTTGAAATTTTGCACAAATTCGAATAAAATTAGATGTAATCGATAGCTTATCACAATTTTTAAACGATTTAAACTTCAATTTTGTCATTTTCCTTCAAAAACTCAATAAAATTATAAAATTTTCATTCTAACCACAAAACAAAATTTTTTGAAATTTCACACAAATTCGCACAAACCTTAAAGAATTCATTAAATTATCCAATATATTAAACAATTGAAACTTCAATTTTGCCTTTTTACTTCAAAATTCAATAAAATTACGAAATTTTCATTCTAACCTCAAAATAAATTTTTGAAAAGTCGCACAAATTCCAACAAAATTAAGAGCATTTGATAGCTTAAACCATATTATTAAACAATTTAAGCTTCAATTTTGCCATTTTCTTTCAAAAATTGAACAAAATATCAAAATTTTCATTCTAACCTCAAAATAAATTTTTGAAATTTCGCACAAATTCTAACAAAATTAAAAGCATTTGATAGCTTAAACAAATTATAACATGAGTTAGACTTCAAATTTCAACTTTACTTGTAAAATTATAGAAAAACTAAGAAAATTTAAAAATTTTTAAATTTTTAAGCAAAATACATAAAAATTAAAAGCCTTTAGTAGATTTTAAAGAGTATTACAAAATTTAGTCTTTGAATTTCAACTTTTCTTAGAAAAATATGAAAAAAATTAAAGAAAATTTAAAAATATTCAACCTAACCTTTAAATGAAATGAAAAATGTAAAAGTTTTTATTAAATTTCATCATTTGTAAACAATTTTAAGTAATATTTTTTCTCTTACTATGTTTATTACTATTTCAAAACCCAGTTAGTAGTTACTTTTGTAATAGCTCTGAATAAAAAGTTTCTGTTTTTTTGATATCTAATCTTATATTTTTTTAACTATAGATTAGAACTGGGTCTATTATAAAAGTTATACAAACATTTATAGACTAATATTAATTAAATAAATGTGAAATACTTAGGTATGAAAAAAAACAGGAGATAAGAAATCCCCCAGTTCAAACAGAAACAACAAAAACAACTAAAAACAGAGCACAAAATTAAAGCTAAAACACTGAAAACCCCTAAAAGTTAAACATAGATTTAAACAAAAACAAATAATAAGCAAGTGTAAGAGGTAATTGTAGGAAAGAAAGAATGAACGAAAGAACAAGCAGAATTTGAAGTCTTGTTGAAGTAAAAAACTAAAAATAGGGTAAAACAAGCAATACCACCCAGAGTTAAAGTCATCAACCTGACTCATAAACAAACCCCAACCAAGAAATAAACTGAAAATAAAACCAAAGAGAAAAAATGCATAAAAAGAGAGAGAGAGCAAAAACTATGACAAGCATGGAAATTTTGAAATAGCACTAACGTACAACAAAAGTAGTACTTTCAGAGGAAGAAAAGAATATGGACTAGACTAGACTATGGACTGGAATATAGACTAGACTGTAGACTTGACTATATACTAGACTGTAGACTAGACTATATACTCGACTAGACTAAAGACTCGACTATAGACTAGACTATAGACTAGACTAGACTAGACTAGACTAGACTAGACTATAGACTAGACTATAGACTAGACTATAGACTAGACTATAGACTAGACTATAGACTAGACTATAGACTAGACTATAGACTAGAATATAGACTAGACTATAGACTAGACTATAGACTAGACTAGACTAGACTATAGACTAGACTATAGACTAGACTATAGACTAGACTATAGACTAGACTATAGACTAGACTATAGACTAGACTATAGACTAGACTATAGACTAGACTATAGACTAGACTATAGACTAGACTATAGACTAGACTATAGACTAGACTATAGACTAGACTATAGACTAGACTATAGACTAGACTATAGACTAGACTATAGACTATACTATAGACTATAGACTAGACTATAGACTAGACTTAGACTAGACTATAGACTGGACTATAGACTAGACTATAGACTAGACTATAGACTAGACTATAGACTAGACTATAGACTAGACTATAGACTATAGACTAGACTATAGACTAGACTATAGACTAGACTACTAGACTATAGACTAGACTAGACTAGACTAGACTATAGACTAGACTATAGACTAGACTATAGACTAGACTATAGACTAGACTATAGACTAGACTATAGACTAGACTATAGACTAGACTATAGACTAGACTATAGACTAGACTATAGACTAGACTATAGACTAGACTATAGACTAGACTATAGACTAGACTATAGACTAGACTATAGACTAGACTATAGACTAGACTATAGACTAGACTATAGACTAGACTATAGACTAGACTATAGACTAGACTATAGACTAGACTATAGACTAGACTATAGACTAGACTATAGACTAGGACTATAGACTAGACTATAGACTAGACTATAGACTAGACTATAGACTAGACTATAGACTAGACTATAGACTAGACTATAGACTAGACTATAGACTAGACTATAGACTAGACTATAGACTAGACTATAGACTAGACTATAGACTAGACTATAGACTAGACTATAGACTAGACTATAGACTAGACTATAGACTAGACTATAGACTAGACTATAGACTAGACTATAGACTAGACTATAGACTAGACTATAGACTAGACTATAGACTAGACTATAGACTAGACTATAGACTAGACTATAGACTAGACTAGACTAGACTATAGACTAGACTATAGACTAGACTATAGACTAGACTATAGACTAGACTAGACTAGACTATAGACTAGACTATAGACTAGACTATATACTAGACTATAGTCTATTTATATAGCACTGAACTTTCCATGCCTGATGACAGTTTTAAATTTAGCTTAAGAGAGAATTTATTTATGTACATTTATAAGTACACGTACTTACTTTTTTTAAGGCGAACTAAGAGCAGGGTTTTATAATATGAATAACGGTAAAGAGTAGGGTGTAAAAGTGAAAAAGAGAGAGAGCTAGACTTTATTATAACTGTAACCAGAGAATGAGTTTTGTTTCTATCAAGT